GGCCACAGGACATTAGACGTGGGGGGTTCGGGGGGGCAGAGGTGAATGGGCTTACCGTCAGAACAGGCTGCTCGGAGGAGGGGAGGGCTGCCATGCGCTGTGGCGGCCTGGGGGGGGCTGGTCCAGCCTCCCCTCGGCACAGGGGGTGGAGCTCTGCCTCCCCATTTCTGTGCGGGGAGGGGGGCCCCCTGGCTGGGTGCTCCGGCTCTGTGTGAGGGTCTCCAGCGCCATCCCCCAAACCATAGCCCGGGCTCGGGGTGATGGCTTAGCACACCCCCATCTTTACCCTCAGATTTTCAGTTTTTGAGGATGATTCCGATTATGGTTAGGGATGTTATAATTCTAACACAGCCTGAAAGGACAATAAACAGCCTCAAAGCCAGGCACGCCCGGGCCGGTGTGGTTCAGTGGGTTGATGCTCTGAAGGGTTAGGGTTCAGTTTCCTGTCAGGGCACATCCCCAGGTTGGGGGTTCGATCCCCAGTTGGGGTGCGTGTGGGAGGCAACCCATCCATGTTTCTCTCTCACATTGCCATCTCTCTCCCTCTCTCCTCTCCTTTCTCTAAGATCAATAAAAACACAAACAGCCGAAACCGGTTTGGCTCAATGGATAGAGCATCAGCTTGGGGACTGAAGGGTCCCGGGTTCGATTCCGGTCAAGGGCATGTACCTTAGTTGTGGGCATATCCCCAGTAGGGGGTGTGCAAGAGGCAGCTTATCGATGACTCTCTCTCATCGATGTTTCTAGCTCTCTATCTCTCTCCCTTCCTCTCTGTACAAAATCAATAAAATGTATTTTAAAAAAAATAAATACAAACAAACACACAAACAAGGTCAGATGCATGTAAGAATGCCCATGCGGCCGAGGCCAGTTTGGCTCAGTGGATAGAGCGTCCGCCTGTGGACTGAAGGGTCCCGGGTTAGATTCTAGTCAATGGCATGTACCTTGGTTGCAGGCATATCCCCAATGAGGGGTGGGCAGGGGGGCAGGTGATCGATGTTTCTCTCTCATCGATGTTTCGAGCTCTCTGTTCCTCTCCCTTCCTCTTTGTGGAAAATCAATAAAATATATTTTTTTTAAAAAGGAAAAGAAAGAATGCCCATGTGCATAGTAACGTATTCGTAGCGGCCAGAAGCCTGTCCCCAGGGACTGGGCAGGGAGCGGGTGGTCACTCAGCCTCGGAAAGGAAGGACGTCCCTGCTGCCTCTCGGACGAGCTGAGACATGGGGCTCAGGGTCGGGAGCCAGGTACATGTGTGCTTCTGCGTGCACAAAACACGAAACACCAGAACAGGCGAGTCCGGAGGCGGGGCGGGGCGGGAGGAGGGGAAGCAGCCAGGAAAGGATCTGAAACTGGAGAGAGGCGGTGGGACCACGGTGTGAACGTCCGGTGTCACCGGCCTGCGCCCTCCACAATGGCTAATGGGCCCGGTCTGCGTGGCTGAGCATCTGCCTACGAACCAGGAAGTCAGGGTTCGATTCCCGGTCAGGGCACACCCCGGTTGTGGGTCTTCATCCCCAGTGGGGGGCGTGCAGGAGGCAGCCCATCAGTGATCCTCCCTCATCATGGATGCTTCTATCTCCCTCTCCCTCCCTGAAATCAATAAAAAGACACATTTTAAAAATGGTTAGTTGTATGTTGCATGAATTTCACTGCAGGAAACAAAAGGGTTTAGCATGGGGGGTGTCTCCTCTGGAGGTGGCGGGGCGGGGACGCCCTGGGCTGAGCAGAAAGACGCGTCTCTCCCGGGGCTGGTGCTGGGGGCCCCGCCCGAGCCACAGGCCCTGTTCCCTGGCCACAATCAGGCCGCCAGCGCTGCCTCGGGCGGGTGGTGGACGGACTGTGTCCTGGGTCACTCCCGTGTGGCCCTGGGTGAGGGGTGGGTGTGGGTGGCAGGGACTCGGGGGCCCAGCTGGCCCTGGGTTGAGCTCCGGTGGGCGGGTTCGAAGCCCACTCACGCCCACTCGGCTGTGCCCTGGATGGCAGTCAGGAGGCCCGCACCAGCTCGGTGCCCTGCAGGCTTGAGCCACCGGGTCTGCAGAGCAGCTCCCTCTGCGTGGGCTCCCGGGAAAAGCTACGCCCTCGGCAGAAAGGTTCCCGGAGTCCTGGAGCCCGAGGGGGATGCAAGACCACCCCCCCGTGCCCTCCCCTCTCCCCCACCCTCCCCCCTGCCCCGGGAGGTGAGGGAGTCTCAGGATGGCGCTCAGGTGACCTCTGGTCCTTTAATGCAGGAGCCGGCCCTCCCGAGGTGAGGCACAGACCCGGGTTTACTTGTTTATGTGTTCAGCATTTTAATGATAACTTTATGTACCCCATATACTCAAAGTATATTTCCATGTGGAAATATAATCAATAAATCCAAATTAATACATATAAATCGAATCTATTTACATATATTTATTTGGACTTATTGATTATACTTCTATTGATTACATATCATGCACTGGTATCTATAATTACTTATAATTTTAAAAGCATAGATGCTAATTAGACCAGATGTCCTTCCGGACATCCTTCCAGACAATGCCAAGGCCCCTGCCTGAACTGCATGCCTCAGGCCTCTAGTACGTAGACAAAATTAAATTAGTCACTGAATGTAAAGGCCAAGAATGAAAACCTGCCCTAGAACAGCCAAGGGGGGGCAGTTAGCCCCCGGCACTGGAACTCACCCCCTTTGCCTGTCCAGCATTGTCCCCCGTGTCCCATGCTGGTCTCCCAGCCTTCTAGATCATTCCCCAAGGTGAGCCTGCTGCGACCTCCTGGCTCTAAAACAGCCGGCCCAGCCGCGTGGCTCCGAGGTGAGGGCTGACCTAGGAGCCAGGAGTCCCCTGTGGGTCCCCTGTGGGTCCCGTGTGGGTCCCGGGCACAGGCGGGCAGTGGGCTTTGGCCCCAGCGGGGGGCGGGCAGAGGCAGCCCATCAGTGATTCTCATCATGGATGCCTCTCTCCCCCCCCCTTCCCCTCTGAGCTCTATAAACGTATTTTATTAAAAAAGAGAGAAGGGGCCTGGATCTGAGATGCCGCTGCTGAGGCGCCGGGTGTGGGACCCACAAACGCTGCCAGCAGCGGGCAGAATGGGGGCCCAAGATGCTCACCCCTCCATCCCCCAGCCTGGGAGCAGCTTGCGTTCCGTGGAGGTTGTACGTGGAGCCAAGGTCACCAGTTGGCTTGTGTGGTGGCCCTGGATTAGCCGGGGCGCAGTGTGGGGGAGGGGCAGCAGCATGGGAAAGGGCCGCAGTGGGGGAGGGGCCATGGGGGAGGGGCCGCAGTGGAGAGCTGAGGGGGGGGCTGAGGGGTGGGGGGCTGAGGGGAGCGGGGGGGGGTGAGGGGAGCGGGGGGGGGCTGAGGGGTGGGGGGCTGAGGGAGCGGGGGGCTTAGGGGAGCGGGGGGCTGAGGGGTGGGGGGCTGAGGGGAGCGGGGGGGCGGGGGCTGAGGGGGAGGGGGGGCTGAGGGGGGGGCGGGGGGGCGGTGGCTGAGGGGAGGGGGGGCTGAGGGGGGCGTGGGGGCGGGGGCTGAGGGGAGCGGGGGGGGGTCTGATGGTAGCGGGGGGGGGGGGTTGAGGGCGGGGAGCGGGGGGGGGGGGTCTGAGGGGAGCCGTTGGGGGCTGAGGGGAGCGGGGGGGGGCAGGGGGCTGAGGGGAAGGCGGGTGGAAGGCGGAGGCTGAGGGGAGGGGGGTGCTGAGTGGAGGGGGGCTGAGGGGAGGGGGGGTGCTGAGGGGAAAGGGGGGCGGGGGCTGAGGGGAGCCGTTGGGGCTGAGGGGAGCGGGGGGGGGCTGAGGGGAGCGGGGGCTGAGGAGGCGGGGAGTGGGGGCTGAGGGGAGAGGGGGGCTGAGGAGAGGGAGTGGAGTGGGCTGAGGGGAGCTGGGCTGAGAGGAGGAGGGGGCCAGTGTGGTTCAGTGGCTAGAGCATCAGCCTGGGAACTGAAGGGTCCCGGGTTTGATTCTGGTCAAGGGCACTTACCTTGGGTGCAGGCCCCATCCTGGACCTGATGGGGGGGCCCCTGTAGGGAGTAGCCAATCAATGTGTGTCTCCCATTGATGTCTCTGTTTCTCACCCTCACACTCTCTAAAAATCACCGGAAAAACAGCCTTTGGCTTGGTGGGGGGGTCGGAGAGCAGGTTTCTGGTCCTCAGTTCAGGCTGATGATTCCCTGTTCCCCCCCCCCCATTCTGCCCCAAAGCCAAGAGGGGGTGCCAGGAGAGGACTGGGCCGTAATGGAGGACTGGAGAGTGCTGGGAGTGGGAGGATGGCGAGGGGGCGGGGCTGAGCGTACCATTCAGAGCAGCAGCCAACGCTTCTCCTCCCAGCCCTCGCCCAGACTACGCAGGTGTGCACTCACATTCTTGCACACCCATGTAGGGGCACACACTCACACATGTGTGCACACACCTGTATACACACACACACGCTCATGCACATGTGTGCTTACATGTGCACACACGGGCACACATGCCCAGCCACATGTGCACGGCTGTGATGACATGGTTCTCCCCTGCAGTCCCACCTGCACACGGGCTGGTGCTGTGTGAACTCAGAGGCTGCGGCCAGCACCGCCGGGCCCGCCCCTACAGCCTCCCCCGCCCGCATGCCACGGGCTCCCATCACCCGGCGGGGGTTTGGATGCGCTGGGTGAGGGTGGGTGCGCGCTGAGGGTGGGTGCTGAGTGCCGCCCCGTCGGGTGGGCGTGGCCCCAGCAGCTCAGAGCCATGGTCCCTGGAGACACCTCCCCATTCCCTCCGTGAGGAGCCGGGGGCTGGCCTGGACGGACCCCAGGCTGTGGTGACCGGGTCCACTCCTGAGCTGGGTGGCAGGACACCACTGGCCAGGCGACCCCTGACCCCATGCCTCTGGGCCCTTGTGTGGGGTGTCCCTCCCGGGAAGGGGTCCTGCCTCCCAGGAGCAGAGGACCCGTCGTCCGGGTGCCAGCGCTCACGGCCTGGAGCCGGCCATCCCGGGCCCGCCCACCGCGGCCTGGCTCACCCCGGTGCCTCTCCCTCCCCAGAGGTCGGACCCGCAGCTGCTGGCCCAGTTCTACTATGCGGACGAGGAGCTGAACCAGGTGGCGGCCGAGCTGGACAGCCTGGACGGGCGGAAGGACCCCCAGCGGTGCACCCTGCTCGTCAGCCAGTTCCGCTCCTGCCAAGTGAGTGCGGCCTGTCCCGGGCGTGGGTGTGGGGCCTGTCCCGGGCGTGGGGTGTGGGGCCTGTCCCGGGTGTGGGGCCTGTCCCGGGTGTGGGGCCTGTCCCGGGCGTGGGCGTGGGGGCCTGTCCCGGGCGTGGGGCCTGTCCCGGGTGTGGGGCGTGGGGCCTGTCCCGGGTGTGGGGCCTGTCCCGGGCGTGGGTGTGGGGCCTGTCCCGGGTTGTGGGGCCTGTCCCGGGCGTGGGGTGTGGGGCCTGTCCCGGTGTGGGTGTGGGGGCCTGTCCCGGCGTGGGGTGTGGGGCCTGTCCCGGGCGTGGGGTGTGGGGGCCTGTCCCGGGTGTGGGCCTGTCCCGGGTGTGGGTGTGGGGCCTGTCCCGGGTGTGGGCGTGGGGGCCTGTCCCGGGCGTGGGGCGTGGGGCCTGTCCCGGGCGTGGGGCCTGTCCCGGGCGTGGGGCCTGTCCCGGGCGTGGGGCCTGTCCCGGGTGTGGGGTGTGGGGCCTGTCCCGGGTGTGGGGCCTGTCCCGGGCGTGGGGTGTGGGGCCTGTCCCGGGCATGGGGCGTGGGGCATGGGGCCTGTCCCGGGCGTGGGGCCTGTCCCGGGCGTGGGCGTGGGGCCTGTCCCGGGCGTGGGGCCTGTCCCGGGCGTGGGGTGTGGGGCCTGTCCCGGGCGTGGGTGTGGGGCCTGTCCCGGGCGTGGGGCCTGTCCCGGGCGTGGGGTGTGGGGCCTGTCCCGGGCGTGGGGCCTGTCCCGGGCGTGGGGTGTGGGGCCTGTCCCGGGTGTGGGGCCTGTCCCGGGCGTGGGCGTGGGGCCTGTCCCGGGCGTGGGGCCTGTCCCGGGCGTGGGGCCTGTCCCGGGCGTGGGGCGTGGGGCCTGTCCCGGGTGTGGGGCCTGTCCTGGCGTGGGGCGTGGGGCCTGTCCCGGGTGTGGGGCCTGTCCCGGGTGTGGGGCCTGTCCCGGGCGTGGGCGTGGGCCTGTCCGGGGCGTGGGCCTGTCCCGGGTGTGGGGCGTGGGGCCTGTCCCGGGTGTGGGGCCTGTCCCGGGCGTGGGGCGTGGGGCCTGTCCCGGGCGTGGGGCCTGTCCCGGGTGTGGGGCGTGGGGCCTGTCCCGGGTGTGGGGCCTGTCCCGGGCGTGGGTGTGGGGCCTGTCCCGGGTGTGGGGCCTGTCCCGGGCGTGGGGTGTGGGGCCTGTCCCGGGTGTGGGGTGTGGGGCCTGTCCCGGGCGTGGGGTGTGGGGCCTGTCCCGGGTGTGGGGCCTGTCCCGGGCGTGGGGTGTGGGGCCTGTCCCGGGTGTGGGGCCTGTCCCGGGTGTGGGGTGTGGGGCCTGTCCCGGGTGTGGGTGTGGGGCCTGTCCCGGGTGTGGGGCCTGTCCCGGGCGTGGGGTGTGGGGCCTGTCCCGGGTGTGGGTGTGGGGCCTGTCCCGGGCGTGGGGTGTGGGGCCTGTTCCCGGCATGGGGCCTGTCCCTTTGATACAGAGTGTTCAAAACCGTTCGCTACTCTGTGTGTTTTAAAGAGCAATCTCTCTCTTTTTAAAACGTGTTTGTAAAAATATACATTAAATTGATTTTTTACAGAGAGGAAGGACAAGGGAGAGAGAATTAGAAACATTAATAAGAGAGAAACATCGATCAGCTGCCTCCTGCACACCCCCCACTGAGGATGTGCCCGAAACCAAGGCACATGCCCTTGACTGGAATCAAACCTGGGACCTTTCAGTCCACAGGCCAACTCTCTATCTACTGAGCCAACCGGTTAAGGCTTAACATATTTTTATTTTATTTTATTAATTTCAGAGACGAAGGAGAGGGAGAGAGAGAAAAACATCAATTATGAGAGAATCATGGATTGGCCACTCCTGCACGCCCCACACACTGGGGGTGGAGCCTGCAAACTGAGTGCATGCCCTGACCAGAAACTGAACCCTGACCTCCTCCTTTATAGGTCACTGCTCAGCCACTGAGCCACACTGGCTGGGCTGCTCTTGTGTTATTATTTATTAATTATTGTATTGTTTTCCGCAAAAGAACTGTTAGCCTGCCTGTGCCGGCCCTGAGCGTGAACTGGGTCTCACTCCAGATCCTCCGGGCCCTGAGCTTCTGTGTTGCCAGGGGCAGGGGGGGCCGTGGGTGCTGCTATGTCCCTGTCGCCCGCCCGCTGCCAGCGCAGCCACAGCGCTGCCTCTCCGTGTTTCAGGACAACGTGCTGAACATCATCGACCAGATCATGGACGCCTGCATCCCCCAGGACCGCGCCCCCCGGGACTTCTGCGTCAAGTTCCCCGAGGAGATCCGGCACGACAGCCTGGCCGGCCAGCTGTGGTTCGGCGCCGAGGTAGCCGCGTCTGGGTCCCCACCACAGCCATGGCGCTGTCCAGCCGTCTCCCTGCAAGCCCTGGCCCGCCCCGGACCACGGCCCCACATGGCGTCCGGTCACTCCTGTGGGCGGGGGGAGGGGCCGGTGTGCCACGCCCTCCGCCTGCCTCTGGGCCCTCACAGTGGGAATGTCTGCGGTTTTGCTGTGACCGGTGTGGACCAAGAGAAACCCGGGGAGCCCCCCCGGGAGCCCCCACCCACCCCTCCTCTCCCGCCCCCCTCCTCCCTCCTCCGCACCCCCCCTCCTTATAACCAGCCCCAGAGCCGGCCGAGGGGACCGGCGGCAGGAGTTCCGGGGCTCCCAGGAGAGAGGACTTGGGATGGAGGCCACGCCCCAGCCTCTGAGTCCCCCCGGGGCCGGCTTTTCTCAGGGTCGGGCCTCAGGGTGGGCCCCCGGGGGCTGGGGCAGGCGGTGACTCTCCCTCCGCCCGCAGTGCCTGGCCGCCGGCTCCATCATCATGAACCGGGAGCTGGAGAGCATGGCCATGCGGCCGCTGGCCAAGGAGCTGACCCGCAGCCTGGAGGACGTGCGGGGCGCCCTGCGCGACCAGGCGCTGCGGGACCTCAGCACCTACACAGAGAAGATGCGGGACGCCCTGCGGCACTTCGACGTGCTGTTCGCCGAGTTCGAGCTCAGGTGACCGTGCACCACGCGTGTGCTGTAGGCGTGGGGCCACGGCCTCGGTGTGGGGCCCTCCCTCTGCTCCTCCTTCCTTCCCCCCCTCCCTCCCCCCCTCCCTCCCTTCTTCCCTTTCTCCCTATCCCCCTCCTCCCCCTCCCTCCCTCCTTCCCTCCCTCCCTTGTTCTCCCCCTCCCTCCCTCCTTCCCTCCCTCCCTTCTTCTCCCCCTCCCTCCCTCCTTCCCTCCCTCCCCTGTCTTCCTCCCTCCCTTCGCACTTCTTCTCCCCCTCCCTCCCTCCTTCCCTCCTCCCTTCTTCCCCCCCTCCCTCCCTCTTCCCTCCCTCCCTTGCTCCTCTCCCACTCCCCCCTCCTCCCTCCTCCCTTTCTCCCCCTCCCTCCTTCTCCCTTCCTCTCCCTCCTCCCTCCTCCCTCTTCCCCTTTCCTCCTCCCCTTCTCCCTCCCCTCCCCTTCCCTCCCTCCCTTCTCCCCTCCCTCCCTCCTTCCCTCCCTCCTTCTCCCCCCCTCCCCTCCCTTCTTCCTTTCTCCCTTCCCCTTCCGCCCTCCCTCCCTCCCTCCTCCCTCCCTCCTCCTTCTCTCCTCCTTCCTCCTCCCCTCCTTCCCTCCCTCCCTCCCTCTCTCCCTCCTTCCTTCTCTCCTTTCCTTCCTCCCTCCCTCACTCCCCTTGCTCAATGGTCAGGGCAGGCCAGGCGGGACACCAGGGAGGCCCCGGAGGGCCTGACCCCAGCAGCTCTGACCCGACAGGGTCACGGCCACGCTGGCCGCTGTGCATTACAGCTACGTGTCGGCCATGGTGCCCGTGAAGTCGCCCCGGGAGTACTACGTGCAGCAGGAGGTCACCGTGCTGTTCTGCGAGACGGTGGAGCGGTGAGCCGCCCGCGCCCGAGGGCCAGCCCTGGCCTGGGGCGGGGCAGCGGGGGGCGGGCACCTGCCTGTCACAGGGGTGCCCAGTAGGGCAGGGCTAGGGCGGCCCCTCCTTGTCCTTGTTCCGGGGTGGGGGGTCCTGAGTGGCCGCTCCTCATGGCTGCAGCCTCGTCCCTCACCCCCCACCTTCCCTCTGGGCCCCGCCCCTAAAGTCCAGGACAGAAATTCATGGGCAGGACAGCAGGGCACAGGCTCTGCCTCCGGGAGCTGACCCCCCCCTCCCGCTCCTCACCCCCCTCCACCTGAAGGCCTCCCCTCCCCCCTCCATGCCCCACGCTCCTCGCCCCCTCCTCCTACGCCCCCGGCAGGAGGGGGCCCTGGCTGGGTTTCGGGTCCCACACGGGTTGGGGCAGATCTCTCAGCCCGTGCCTTGGGGTGTGAAGTCAGAGGCTCCGAACGGCCCAGGGCCTCTGTGTGTGAGAGGGCCCAGCTCTGAGGCTGGCTGGGAAATCCTGATGTCGCCCAGGGCCTCTGTGTGTGAGAGGGCCCAGCTCTGAGGCTGGCTGGGAAATCCTGATGTCGCTCCGAAGCCCTGACTTCTCAAACACGGATAGTCCGTGTTGGCCCGTCGAGAGGCATTTCACGTCATTTCACGTCACCTGCCCGAGAGGCTCTGACTGGCGTCGCTGGGATGGGGGGAGGGGAGTCCGCAAGGCGGCCCCGCCCACCCCTGGAAGGGCTCGGGGCACACGCGTCCCCCTCCGACTGCCCGCCCAGCGTGGACGCGGGTCTGCCAGGCCCGGCCTCCTCACTGTGCCCCTCGGCCAGGGCCCTGGACTGCGGGTACCTGACCCAGGACATGATTGACGACTACGAGCCCGCCCTCATGTTCACCATCCCCAGGCTGGCCATCGTGTGGTGAGTGCCCCCCGCCGGACGGTCCTCCTGCGGGAACCGGGCAGGGCCGTCCCATCCGGGGCTGATAAGGTCCTGGAGGCAGAGCCTGTGCAGGGCTCACCTCCCCCACCGGCATCTGCTCCACTCTTGCTTGGCTCTGGGGGCAGATGGCTTTGAGTCTCGTGGTCACAAACTCTAGGGGTGTCCGTTTCCCAGGAGCGGGGCTCAGGGACGGTCTCGTGCTGACGGGCGTGGTTGCCGCGGCAACATACCGCACAGGTGGTGGTTGTTGGATGGTCCCTGGAGTGACCGTTATCAGAACAGGACACAGTTTGAGTGACAGTTCTTACTGCATTTCTCTAAACTTATTGAAGACTTGGTCTCACTCAGCAGTGTGGCTCAGTGGTTTAACATGGACCTAGGAAGCAGGAGGTCATGGTTCAATTCTGGTCAAGGGCACATGCCCGGGGTGCAGGCTCAATCCCCAGTGGGGGGCGTCCAGGAGGCAGCCAATCAATGATTCTCTCTTGTTGTTGGTGTTTCTCTATCACTCTCCCTCTTCCTTCCTCTCTGACGTCAATAAAAACATCCTATAGGTAAAAGGCTAATATGCAAATTGCCCCCTAGGAAGTTCAACAGGGAGTTTGTTCGCTTGCTATGACAGACACTGACCACCAGGGGGCGGCGAGGAATATGGCGGGCGACAAGCTGCAGTGGCGGGGTGCTGAGGGAGCTAGGGATGGAGGAGGCGGGGAGGCGAGGAACCTGATCGGTTCTGGTCACAGCCCAGGCCTCGGGACTCTACTCATGCACAGATTTTGTGCACCTGGCCTCTATCTAAAAAAAAAGAAAAAAAAAAAGGATTGGGTCTTGAGGTGATGCGCATGCCTGCTGAGTGTGGGGTGGTCCTGGAGGCAGAGGCAGGGCCGGAGCCAGGCTGGCGTTTGTGTCCTGAATGCAGCGGCCTCGTAGTGTATGCGGACGGACCGCTGAACCTGGACCGCAAGGCGGAGGACATGTCCGAGCTGTTCCGGCCCTTCCACACGCTGCTGCGGAAGATCAGGTGCGGAGGAGGGAGGGTGGGGGAGGGGGGCTGGCGTTGGCGGTCACCCCAGCCTTCGGCCCCGCAGGATTGGGGGGCAGTTCCTGGTCCTCTTCCGCTCAGCAGGGTGATGGGGCCTCGGCCTCGGTCTCCGGGGCCGGTTCATGGCGTTGAGGGCCCTTGTCGCTCCTGCCCATCCTTCCCGCGGGACCAGGTTCTTTGTGGTGGCCGTCATGCCCGGAGACCGTTCGCGTCGCTGCCCGGCCGAGGTCCCACCCGGCCTGGTGCCAACTCTCAGGGCCTGCAGGGGCCTGGCTCTCAGGACGGGCTGTGACAGGTGTCACACTGTACACAGCACAAGCTGTGCAGTTCTGAGAGGCACTAGTTTTATAAAAATATGTTTCTATTGATTTTAGAGAGAGAGGAAGGGAGAGGGAACAAGAGAGAGAGAGAGAAAGAGGGAGAGAGAGAGAGAAATGTCAGTGATGAGCCCTCGGCAGTGTGGCTCAGTGCATAGAGCGTCCAACTGCAGACCGAAGGGTCCTGGGTTCGATTCCAGAATCACGGTCAAGAGCGTGTACCTTAGTTTCAGGCATCTGTCTCCCCAGCCTGGGCCCTGGCCAGCGCACGTGCAGGAGGCAACCAATCTATGTCTTTCTCTCACATCCATGCTCTTCTACTCTGTAAAAATCAATGAGAAAATATCCTCGGGTGAGGGGGGGGGGAGAGAGAGAGAGAGAGAAAGAGAGAGAGAGAGAGAGAGAGAGGGGGAGGAAGAAAAAAAGAAAGAGAGAGGAGAGAAAGAAAGGAAGAAAGGAAGGAAGAAAGGAAGAAAGGAAGAAAGGAAGGAAGAAAGGAAGGAAGAAAGATCAGAGATGAGAGAGAACCGGGGATCGGCTGCCTCCCGTACGCCCCCCCTCCCCCCCTGGGGATCGAGCCCGCAGCTAGGCATGTGCTCTGACTGGGATCCAACTGGGACTCTGGGTTCCTGGTTCGATGCTAACTGCTCAGCATGCTGGCTGACTGCAGGGCGCGCTTTTCCGTGTGCTCCTGTGTGTTCACCGTGGGACTCGGACCGGGCTGGCCCGTGCTTCTCCCTGCACAGAGCAGCTGCTCAGCCCAGGAAAGTCACTCCGCATCCTGGTCTCTGGGTCAATGCCTCTTCCTCCAGGAAGTCTCCCCAGACTGAGCCAAGTACCCTCCGTTTTCCTCGGTTGCAGTTGTCACTATTGTGGTCCCATCATCGCTCACACAAATATCTGTTTTTGCATCTTCCAGCTGCCGGGGCCATGCCTGTCTGGCTGCGGTGCTCCGTGCCCAGCACAGGCGGGGCTCAGAGCAGCTGTGGGACAGAAGGAGGAAGCCAGAGGGAAGCCGGCAGTGGGCTTTCACGCCTAGCTGTTTTTACTCCTGTGGTTAGCACAGCCCCTGGACCAGGCGCTCTTGTTCCCACAAGAGGCTTCAGAACCTGGTTGTTAAGAAGGAAACTGCCCGGCTGGTGGCCGGCCTGGCTCTGGGGTCCAGATTTGACCTAGGAGCCAGGAGGTCACAGTTCCATCCCCCGTCAGGCACATGCCCGGGTTATGGGTTTGATCCTCAGTGGAGGGCGTGCAGGACAGCCAGCCCATGGCTCGCTCTCATCATCGATGTTTCTCTCTCTCTCCCGCTCCCTTCCTCTCTGACATCAATAAAAACATATTTAGAAAATAGAAACATATTTCAACAAAATAAAAGAAGGGAGCCGGTGCCTCTCTTTATCCTGGAGGAAACGTGTGCGTGCCTGAACTGAAGTGCGAGCTGTGGGTGCCCGCTGCTCCCCTGGGCGCTGGCGGGTGGCACGGCGCCCGCTCTTGGCGGAGGCGGTGGCCGCGGGCCCTCACCGGTGTCCGGTCCCTGCAGGGATTTGCTGCAGACCCTGACGGAGGACGAGCTGCACACGCTGGAGCGCAACCTCTGCATCTCCCACGACGTGGAGTTCCCCCTCCGCACGGACGCCCCGGGGCCCCCGGCCCTGGCGCCCGCCTTCCCCGCGCCCGTCCCGCCCGAGGAGCTGCTGCCGGCCAAGGCCAAGGATCTGGAGGCCGAGCTGGCCTGCTCTATGCAGTACGACGACCAGGAGCTGGAGCAGCTGAGCCGCATGGTGCACCGGGCGGGGGACGCCATGTCCTCGCTGCTGTCCCCGCCCAGCGCCTGCCAGTCCCCCGCTCGCCGGCCGGGCAGCACGGGCGGCGAGGGCAGCCCCCGGGTGGAGGCCTCCCCCGGCCGCAGGCTGCGGCCCTCGGGCAGTGACGAGGAGGAGGGCAGGGTGTTCTTCATGGACGACGTGGAGGGGGCCCCGGAGGCCCCGGGCAGCCCCTCCGTGTGGCCGGGCGGCCCCCGCGCCGCCCCCCAGGGGCCGGAGCAGGGCGGGGAGGCCGGGGCCCGCGTGCCCGCCGCCCCGAAGGACAAGGGAGACGTGAGCAATAACAACAACGCTCCGGACGGGGACCGGGCGTGGGCGGCCGGCCCCAACTCCTGCAGCTGCCTGGACGGCCCGCCGCCCCCCGACGGCTGGGAGGCCGCGGCGGACGACGCGGAGACCGCCGAGATGATCGCCCACCGGACGGGGGGCATGAAGCTCTCGGCCACGGTCATCTTCAACCCCAAGTCGCCCGCCTCCCCAGACGGTGGCGTCCCTGCCCCGGAAGCGCCCGGAACCGGGGCCTCCCCGTCGGAGACCGCGGCCGAGGGCACGGAGGGCAGCCCCCACACACTCAGCACCGCCACGGCCACCAGCTGCCTCCTCCATTCCTGCGTGTGCTGCGCCGGCTGCAGGAGCGGCGGGGAGGAGGCCACCGAGAGCCTGCCAGACAAGGGCAGCCCGGGCGTCCTCGGCACCTCCTACGTGGGCTTGGGCTCGGGCGTGGCCAAGGGCGGGGCTGAGCGGCCGGAGGAGGCCCGGCCTGCCCTGGAGGCGCTGCCCGCGGGCCCCCCGGGCCCTCTGCCCACAGAAGACACCCCCAACCAGCAGGAGCCCGGAGCTCCTGCTCTCAGCAAGTGCCTGGACCTCCCCTCGGGGCCCGCGGTGGATGCAGCAGACGGCCTGCAGGGCAGTGGGGACGGCAGTCAGCAGGAGCCCGAGGCCGGACAGCTGGACGGTGGGCAGCTGGGCGGTGGACAGCCCTCCCTGAGCCACAGCCTCTCGGGCCCCAGGTAGGAGCTCTGGCCCCCGGGCTCACCCCTGACTGCACTGGGGCGTGTGTGGCTGATGATTCTCCGTCAGGTGTTTCCACAGGCCCTTGGGGCAGGGGTGGGGGCAGCAGGGGCCTCAACGCTACAGGGCGTTCAGCAGCTCGATCCGGCCTCCTGGGCGGAGGGTGACCCTGCCCAGAAACATCCCCTTTGGCCCCTGGGAGTGCAGGCCTTTGAGGAGGTGGCAGGGCCCAGCCTGGGGTCTGCCCTGCCCGAGGCGTGGCCCAGCCTGGCCCTGCTGTGACTAGCGTGGGGGTGGGATGGACGGTGGCGATGGGCCTGGCTTTGTCTTTGCTGCCCCGAGGGTGCCCACCTGATCACACGGCCACTCGGCCCCCGTGGGTGCACCGACCCTCTGAGCTGTGGGCACCGGGCCTCTGGGTGCTGAGACCACCCAGATCCTCAGGAGGTGCTTGGGCGTTGCCCTCCCGCCCAGATGCACCTCCTCAGACTCCAGGGGTCTTGGTTCCCTGGCGCCCCTCACCCCGGCTTACCCAGGCAGAGCAGACAGCAGCCGGGCCCCTCCAGAGGACATGGACAGAGGACGAGCAGGGTTCGCCAGGTGGTTCCCATGGGGCCGCGGTAGTGTCACCATGGGCTGGTCTCTCATAGGACTTGCCTACAGGGCGCCCACTGGCTTCGGCTGTGACCACCAGTGGGTGCTGCGGGGGGCCCTCTGTCAGGAGCCGTGGAGATGGGTACAGAGAGGTGGTCAGCGGGGTGGATCGTGGAGGGGTCTCCACACCAGGGGGAGGGGTCTCCACACCAGGGGGAGGGGTCTCCACACCAGGGGGCGGGGTCTCCACACCAAGGGGAGGGGTCTCCACACCAGGGGGAGGGGTCTCCACACCAAGGGGAGGGGTCTCCACACCAGGGGGAGGGGTCTCCACACCAGGGGGAGGGGTCTCCACACCAGGGGGAGGGGTCCACACCAGGGGGAGGGGTCCACACCAGGCTGTGTGCTCTGCCTCCTCCTTTCTGGCCTCGCCCCTAGCACAGGTGTGAGTGTGAGGGGCTGGCTGGGACCCGGTGGTGTTGGGGCTGCCACTGCTCGCTCCTCCATGCCGAGTCCCCGTGTTTGCGGCTGGACCTCACGGCTCGTGTGCCCGTGCCTGCCTCTCCTGGGTGGGGCCTCAGTCACTCCCCACCCCTCCCCAGCCCTGGGCACCCACTCATCTATTACCTGGCTCCATAGGCTGGCCTGTTCCGGAAACTTCCTATAAACAGAATCACACAATAAGTTACCTTTGGTGTCTGGCTTTTAAAAAATACATCTTCGTTGTTGAAAGTGTTACAGATACCCCTTCTCCCCCCACGCCCCCCCCCCTGCCCCGCCCGCGCTCCAGGCCTTCCCCACACTGTGTTTGTGCCCAGGGGGTATGCATATATGCATTCAAGTTCTTTGGTTGATCTCTTCCCATCCACCCACTCCCCCGTCTCCCCCCTGAGACTCCCGGTCTGTCCCATGCTGGGGTCTGGCTTCCTACTGAGCATCAGGCTTTCAAGCAAACACCAGCCTTTCCTTCCTTTTCATGGCTGTGTAATATTCCACGGGAGGATGGACCATGTTTCATTTATCCACCTGTCTGTCCAGGTGCCCGTGTGTACGTGTGTGTATGCATGCCTGTGTGTATGTGCGCATGTGTGTGCATGCACATGTGTGTGTGTGATATTCCCCTCTTGGCTATTATGAATAATGCTGCTGTGAACACCTGTGTATAAGTTAAAAAAAATTTTTTTTATTGATTTCAGAGAGGAAGGGAGAGGGGGAGAGAGATAGAAACATCAATGACGAGAAAGAATCATCCATCGGCTGCCTCCTGCATGCTCCACGCTGAGGATCATGCCCTGACCGGGAACTGAACCGCTGTCTCCTGGTTCATACATAGGTCGGTGTTCAACCACCGAGCCGCACTGGCCGAGGGTAGCAAGGGCAGCCCCGGTGGGGGCCTCCCCAGGCCAAAGGCTTGACCGTCGGGCAGTGACAAGAAGGAGGGCAGGGTTTCGACGTGGACGACATGGGGGACAGCGGAGGCCTGTGCACACGAGTGTGTGTTTGTGTGTGTGTGTGTGGTCATGTTTCTGTGTCCTTTTCTTTCATATCCAGGTGTGGGAGTGCTGGGGCACATGATGTAGCTTCTTTTTAAATATTTTTATGGGTTTGAGAGAGAGAGAGAGGAAGGGAGAGGGAGGGAGAGAGAAACATCGATCGGTTGCTTCCCGTACACACCCTGACTGGGAACGGAAAACGCAACCTAGGCATGTGCCCAGATGGGGAATGGAACTGGCAGTTTTTCCGTGCACAGGACCACGTCCAACCCACTGAGCCACACGGGCCAGGACTGTGGGTTAGCGCAGTGGTTGGCAACTGTGGCTCACAAGCCACGGTTTGCCGCTCTGTTGACTAATGAGTTTGCTGGCCACTGGGTTAGCTTTTTAAGGTGCTATCACCCGCTTGCCACAGTGGCTGCTGTGAGCGTGCCCACCGTCCCGGCCGGGGTTGGTTTCTCCACCTCCTCACGGACACCAGTGTCCCGGAGGCTGTTTGAATAGGTCTGCCCGCGGGGCACACCCACTGGGGCTCACTGAAGTCACTCCCCAGGCCAGGGCGCCCCCCACCCCCAGTTCGCCGCAGCAGGCCCACCTGTTCCCGTGGCAGCAGACGGTGGGCGGTGCCCTCGCCCGGGTCTCACTGCCATCAGTTAGGGGAGATGTTTGCGAGGCTCCCGTCAGGCCCACGGGGTGAGGTCTACCCAGAGGGCTCAGTCTCTTCACCTCATGTGCCCCCTCTCCTGCTGTAACAGGTTTAACCTTTTTTATAGTTTCTCCTGGAAGTTTAAAAATAGAAGCCACGATGTACGTGAACCCACACACCTGCTCCCCCTCCTGTTCTATGCAAAGGGCCTCGCCCTGCACACACGCCTCTAGCCTTGCACTCCTGGCCGAGCCCGGGAGCTGCTGTGGCAGCTTCTAGACGTGTCCCCACGGTCACTGTCGCTGCCTGGGACCCCGCCATGTGGCTGGACCCGCGTCACACACGCCAGCCACTGGCCTTGGGGCCGCCCCCGACTGGGCGCCTGCAAGCGGTGCCTCGGAGCAGCGTCGGCAGCGTCCCTCGGGGATAAGGCCTCTCGGGAGGTGCGAGCCCAGCCGCCTCCGCCACGCCCAGGGGCTCGGATTTTTGTCCACAGCCTCCTGGACGGCTCCTCCTCAGGGCCCCAGCCCCGTGGCCGAGCTGATTGGTAAGTGTTGCTTTCTGCAAGGCGGATCAGAACACAGCACAGACTCTCTGACGGGCTCCTGGATCGGGGAGTCTGACCTGCACCCACTTTCTCTGCTGTGTGTTCAGGTGACAGCCAGAGGACACCTGCTCTGTCTGCAGCCCCTTCTCTCCTGCCGTGTCCCGCGTGCACACGGCTCAGGGGTTCGCACCACGCCTCATTTCCAGCCTCATCGGCTCAGCGCACACGTGCGCTCATGCCGCCGAAGCTGAGCTGCGAAAAGGAAGAGAACCCCACCGAGAACCTCCAGGATTTCCAGAAGGTGCCCGAGTCCGAGGGAGGAAGAACGTGGTAGGCGGCCGGCTGAGCAGGACAGCCCTGCGCCAGGGTCAGGACCTTGGACAGCGGGCCCGGCACTGCATAGGGGAAGCTGGGAGTCCGGCCGGCAGGTGGCGCTGTCCCACCCACGGACGGGGAGCGAGGCTCATTCAGACCAGGCTGACTCCTGGACACCCACCCACCCACCCACTCAGTGGCCGGGCAGGGCGCCCACCTTGGGGAACCTGATGGAACACAGGGCGCAGGTGACAAGGCAGCATGGGAAAGACAAGCATGAACGATCCATTGGCCTTCTGTCCAGGAACTGGCAGGAAGTTCACAAAATTCACAGGGCGAGATGCCGGGACCTGGTTGGCATTTGGTGATGGCAGCGGCCGCTGGGGCGGTGCAGCTGGCCACCCCCCTGGCAGATGGAGAGTCAGGCCGGGGAGCTGTGCCTGCAGCACAAGCCCATTGTGCTCATGCACCCCTTGTGGGATCAGCGTGGCCCCAATTTGACTCTGAGGCCCGCCTGTGAAGCAGGTGCTCCCCTGGCCCCTGCAGTGTGTGCCCGGGAAGGGAACCGCCGGCCGCCCTGCCCGCACGGGCTCCTCGGACCCGGGGCCACTTCTGGAGCCGGTGCCATGAAGGAGACGCCCGGGATGTTCAGCTTGCTCCAAGGGCACCACCGGAGCGTGTTCTCCCGGCCAGCCGGGGACGGCCCCGCGGAAGGCCGGCTGCCCGGGGCCTGGAGGAGGGTCTGGCTGGAGGAGACCCTCCCCGGCGTTTCGCCTGCCCGACCTGCACCCCTAGCTCCCCGCTGGCCGCTCCCACCAGCGCCGCTGCCCAGGGTCCCGGCAGTACCACCTCCAATGTCCTCAGAGATTCTTGCAGCTTCTTCCTCACCTTTTCAGGCTCACAGATCAGCCTTTTTGGGAAGAGCTGCGTTTTTTTAAAACCCTGCTGTCCCTGTGTAGACTCGCCTCATTATCCAGAACCTTCTGTGCTCAGAGCCAGCCGGGTCCACCCCCTTTCTAGAACGGAAATCCGTCTGTCTCGAGTGCGCCTGCCTTTCCCGGGTCGTCCTGCTACCGTGTGCTCCTGGCCTCCCGCCTTCTTCAAAAGCAACGCCGACACGCGCTCTTTCCTCATTGTAATGTGGTCCTGGGCATGGTGGAACGGAGGGAAACGTGAATGAGCACGAGGAGGGAAATAAAGCCATCCCCAGCCCATGGCAGTTTCTTTGCTTTCTCACCGAATGCCATTACGACGGCTCCTCCACAAAGTCCTCTGTTTGCTGGCGTCACAGGCTCTGCGTCCCGTCCTTTCCCGGCTCCGTATTTCCCCAAGATGCACGGGCCCCGTGGTCATGCCCCCTCTGGCTGCGTCTGGATTGTTTCTGTGGCCCCAGCACTGCAGCGAGGAAGCGCCACGCAGGGTGTGTGCCCGCTCCCGGTCTCGGGGAAGCACGCAGCAGCTTCCACACGTGAGACATGGCTGTTGGCTTCCCATAGGTGCCTTTCTCACGTCCAGTTTGGTGAATATTTCATAAGCGCAGACGTCGCCCCTAGCTGGTGTGGCTCAGTGGGTAGAGTGTCGCCCTGCGGACTGAGGGTCCTGGGTGTTCGATTCCGGTCAAGAGCACATGCACAGGTTTCGGGCTCAATCCCCAGTAGGGGTCATGCGAGAGGCAGTCGATCCATGACTCTCTCTCATCATTGCTGTTTCTCTCTCCCTCTCCCTTCCTCCCTGGAATTATTATATATTATATATGGCACTCCAGCACTTCTTCTTTAACTTTTGGGGTGACCAGGCAGCTCTTCTTTTTCAGTCTCTCCTGGGAGGGTTGAATCCCCCCAGCCCTGCCCACCCACGTCCTGCCCGACTCCTGGCTCCAAGGGGCACCAGGGGACCCGCAGCCCGGGGTGGAAGCAGGGCTTTGAGCTGGAGCGAGTGCTTGGTGAGCACTGGTCCTGGGCGGGGCTGGGGCGGGGTAGGCACCAGGGGCGGCCGCAGGGTCCTCCTCCATCCCCCGGAGCAGGAGGGTTCCTGTCCGAGCAGCTGCTGCCCTGGAGCAGGCGTCTCCCACCCTGGGAGGCAGAGCCCAGAGGAGGGTGAAGTGCTGTGTGATGGGCGCGGCAGGAGGGGTGCACCTCCCCCCCCCCCCCCCCGCCTCGTGCTCCGGGCCGCCAGCCGCTGAGCCTTCTGTTCGGAGCTTTAAAAAGCAGCAGCAGGCGTGGCGCCGGAATGTGACATGCTCCTCGGCCCACGCGACGACACGTCTATTTATAAATGCACACACGCATGTGCCGTGGCGTGTCTGCACCCCTAGCTGTCTAGATGCGCACGCACTGCATCTGCGTTAGGGCCAGGCCCCGTGACACAGCCGGGGGCCTTCCGGGAGCCGGAACCGGCTGCGCACAGCCCTGAGGCCCCTCTGAGCCCCGGACCCGGACCACAGCCGCCACCCTCCTGCGGGCCCCCTCCGCCCACACTGGAGGCACTGGCCCCGCTGCCTCTGCTTTTCAGGGCGGGGTTCGAGCTCCCCTCGTGGGGGCAGGGAGGGGTCAGAGCCGCATCCTTGCTGTGCCTCATTGTTCACTGTCCTGTGGGACGGGGGCTGTGTCTGCTCCGGGGCTGCTGTGACACACGTGGACACTTTGCGTGGATCAGTTTCCAGTTCCCTCGGGCGCACACTTCAGGGGGAATTGCAGGCTCACCGGCACCAGGAAGGAGCTGGCTTCCGAAGGGACTGCCTGTTCGATCCCGCCTCCCGCCCCAGGAGGTCCGAGGGTTCTGACTTCTCCACGTCTTCGCCAACACCTGTTGTCTTCTTTCTTTAAAAAAAATAATAATAATAATAATTAAAAAAAATAATATATCTATATATATATATATATATATATATATATATATGTATATGTATATATATATATTTAGCCCTAACTGGTTTGGCTCAGTGGATAGAGTGTCGTCCTGTGGACTGAAAAGTCCCAGGTTCGATTCCGGTCAAGGGCATGTACCTTGGTTGTGGGCACATCCTCAGTAGGGGGTGTGCAAGAGGCAGCTGATGGATGAATCTCTCTCATCAATGTTTCTGACTCTTCCTCTCTGTAAAAAATCAATAAAATATATTTAAAAATATTTTTATTGATTTAAGAGAGAAAGGGAGAGGGAGAGAGAGACAGAAACATCTGTGATAAGAGAATCATTGATCAGCTGTCTCCTGCGTGCCCCCCCAGACTGGGAATTGAGCCCGCAACCCGGGCCTGTGCCCTGACTGGGAATCGAACCATGACCTCCGGTTCATAGCCCCGCTGGCAGCCTGCGCAGCCCCTCGCAGCCTCCTGTGCAGACTGCCAGCCCACCCCGCCCCCTTGCCCACACAGACCGCATCCTCTGCTCTCCCCGTGACCCCCAGGCCCAGAGCCGGGGCCCAGAGCCGCCCGCAGCCCACCCCACACCGTGTCTGCTTCTCCGCAGGGGCTGCCCGGCCGGGGCCTGCTCGGCGGACAAGGCTGTGCCGGAGGCGGCGCCCGTGGCCACGAGAGAGAAGATGCGGTCCCGGTTCCACGGCAGCCACGACCTGATCCATCGCCTGTTCGTCTGCATCTCAGGTGCCACGTGTGGGTGGGCAGGTGGGCTGGTGGGCGAGGGGGCGTGCTTTGGGGGAGCAGCTGGTGCCCATGGGGGCTGAGGCCAGCTGCGGGTGAAATCCTGACAATGATGTGATGATGTTGGGGCGTGCTGCCTGATGTTGGGGTGCAGGGGTGCCCGGCCCTGTCCGTGGGCTTGCTCTGTCTTGTCATCGCCCGCGCCCTGCACCCTACGCCCAGCAGAGAGCAGGCTTTGTTTGAGGTCAGCCCTCTCCCCCCGCCCCCCGGGATGGCCCCTCGGCCCCCTGGGGGTTCTGTGCACCTTGAGGTTCAGAGTCCGTGTACATCCTGACTGGTTAGTCTTTCCTTCCTCCATGGCTCACAGAAGGGGGGGGCATTTTGTCCCCCAGGACGTCAGAGGGGCGCCTTTTTTGTGTGTGTGTGTGGTTTTTTTTAAAATATATTTTATTGATTTTGTACAGAGAGGAAGGGAGAGAGATAGAGAGTCAGAAACATCGATGAGAGAGAGTCATCGATCAGCTGCCTCTTGCACCCCCCCTACTGGGGATATGCCCGCAGCCAAGGTACATGCCCTTGACCGGAATCGAACCCGGGACCTTTCAGTCCCCAAGCCGACGCTCTATTCATTGAGCCAAACCGGTCCTGGCAGAGGGGCGCCTTTTTCACGGTTCCTTTAGTTCTGTGCGTTTTAAACGAGTGCAAACCCATGTGGTTCAAAAGCATACAGTGTGGGGTCCCCCACCCGCCTGGGAGGGGCTTAGGGAGTGCTGTCCTGCCTCGGGCTCCGCCCCCACACGGTCCGGGGCCCCCTCTTCCCCGGCTGCAGGGAAGATGCAGGAGCCAGCAGCAGCGGACCTGGGTCACAAGCCCAGAGATCATTGCCAGGGACCCCCAGGGGCACAGCCTGAGCCAGGCCCCCCTCCCGGGCGGGACCACGAGGGCCGGGGGACTCTGAGCTTCACCTGCCAGAATGCACCCCATGGTGTTTTGTGGTTTTTAAAAAAATATATATTTATTGATTTCAGAGAGGAAGGAAGGGAGAGGGAGGGGGAGAGAGAGAATATGGATCAGCTGCCTCCTGTACATCCCACACTGGGGATTGAACCTGCAACCCTGGCCTGTGCCCTGACCAGGAATCAAACCCTGACCTCCTGGCTCCTAGGCCGATGCTCACGCCTGGCCGTCCTGGCTGGGCTCCCGGTGGGTGTGAGCTGAGGAGCAGTGCCTGCAGGTGCCCAGTACAGCGGCTGGCAGGAGACCGGGCGCTCGGCCGCAGTCACTCCCACAGTCTCTCCCACAGCCACAGGGCGTCCGTGGTCTGGGGGTGCGCACCGCTCCTCCTGGCTTTGGCCCCTCAAAGAGCCGCTTGCTGGTCACGGGGAGGCTGAGTCCACCCTGCTGAGGGGTGGACACGTTTCCCACCCAGAAGCGGCTGGGGGCTGGGGGTGCAGAGGAGCTGGGCACCAGGCACCTCCCGGCCGGTCCTCCTGCAGCCCCCCCGCCCCCCCCCCCACGGGGAGTCCCGGCTGCGCCCGGCAGTCACAGTATTTGGGGCAGCGCTGTTTGCCGTGGGGAGGGATGTCCAGGTGCCGCGTGGCCGTGACCTCGGGTGGTGCTGCCCGGCACGGTTCGAGCCGAGATCCCTCAGGGAGGGCCAGGGCTGCCCGGTGGTGGTGGTGGCGTGACCCGGAGGAGGAGATGTGCCCGAGCCCCTGCCTCCGCCAAAGACTCGCCCGGGCTGGCAGCTGCTGCTTGCTGCCCAGCTGCAGGCGCGGTCCCCAGGCGGCCAGCCCACCGCTCCCCTGCCCCTCCCCTCCCCAGGGGTGGCTGACCAGCTGCAGACCAACTACGCCAGCGACCTGAGGAGCATTCTCAAGACCCTCTTCGAGGTCATGGCCACCAAGCCGGAGATGGACGACAAGGACAAGCTGCGGAAGGGTGAGTGCCCTGGGGTGTCCAGCGCATGGGGGCGGGGCACCCGGCAGCCCCCACTCCCAGCGTGGGCAGGGCCGGCCCTCCACGCCCGGCCGGGGATGGGACGGAGCATGGACCCAGCTCCCTCTCTTCCAGTGACCCAGACGCTGCGGGGCGCGGCCCTGGAGGACTGCGCCCTGTGCCAGGAGACCCTGTCGTCCTCCGAGCTGGCAGCCAAGACCCGGGACGGAGACTTGGAAGGTGTGTGGAGCGCTGGCCCGTCTGACGCTTGCTCTCTGTCCAGACCACAGCCTGGAGGTCAGGGACCCCTGCCCCCACTAGCCTGGAGCTGGTGGCTGGAGGCCGGTGGCTTGCTGGTCAGGGAAGGGCACTGGGAAGACCCCGGGGCCCTGGGGGGCATGTGTCCCTCGGAGCCTGGAGGTGCTGGAGGGTGAGGGCGGCTGGGCCTGAGCGGGGTCCCAGGTGCGTAGCCCAGGAGGCGGAAGCTGACCCTGCGATAGGCCAGGTCACACCCAGGGTCCCGGCTCAGGGCCTGGGGACAGGCGCACCGCGAGGAGTGGGTGAGGAGGGCAGGGCGGCTCTGGCAGGGCCCGGGGGGGGGGGGCAGGCAGGAAGTCCCCGGACTCGGGGCCCCGGCGGGTGCTCTCGTCGGCCTGAGCTGGAGGCCGGCCGGCCCACCCAGGGCGTCGAGGGGTCCAGCAGGCGTTGGTGGGGGTGCCGGGGGCCAGAGTGAGAGCCGACCCTGTGGTGTGGGCGAGCTGAGGGCCCCAGAGGGTGGCCCGTAAGGAGAGGCCGGGGAGGCAAGGCGCCTGGGTGGCCGGTGGCCGGGCGGCCTTCACCGTCCATGGGAGGCCCGGGGCCTGGGGGCTGCAGGGTGGCCGGGCCTCAGGGCACCTCTGGGAGTCATGCTCGTTTCGGCCTGGAACATGGCGGCCCCTGGCTGGGGGAAGTGACCGTCTTGTTGTACAAGCTGCTCCCCACATTACAGAGCTCCTGAGAATGGGAGAGGGGTCCCTGTGACCCCGTGACCCTGTGGGAGGCGGGGCCTGGCAGCACCAGCCTTGGCCTCTGGAGGTGGACGGGAGTCTGCCTGGGCCTCCAGGGACCAGGGTCCAGGGACCCCTGACACCCCACAGTGTAGACTTCTTTATTTCTCAGTTCCTACCACTGCCCAAGGGCCTTGCCAGCTGGGTGCTGGAGGCCTAGGCTTGGGAGGGGGTGATCCAGGTGAGGCTGGGTCTGACCCACAGGCTCTGCCCACGGGTGTGCAGACTGACCGCTCACAGGGGAGGCTCCTGCACACCCACCTGCGACCCCAGACCCCCTGACCCCCGCCCCCGTCGTGGCTGCATGGCTCCCTGTGCCTGACGCCACTCC